GTGTGTGTGTGTGTGTGTGTGTTCTCAGAGTTTGGGGGGGGGACCCAGAGCCTTGCCCATAAGTAAGCACTCAACCACTGAGCTAGCTGCGCACTCACTGCTTTGATTTTAAGAAAGAAAACCAAAGTCCCGTCCACCCATCTATCCATCTGTTCACCGATCCATCTACCTGTCGATGATCTACTGCTTAACTGGGAAACCTCTAAAAACTCAGCTCTGAAGAGAACACAAAACCTCAGGCCCCTGATGTCAGACATCAGCCCCCTGCTTCTGTGGTGCTTGGAGAATTTGAGAATAAGAAGTATTTCCCCTGTTCATGGTACACCAAGTGTCCAGAGACAACGTGAAGAGAGAAGGTCATGATGTTTTCTCACAGCAATTGAAAAGTAACCAAGACACCTACCCTGTGGGCTTTTCAAGAAAAAATTCGGATCCACCATGATTTGGGACAGAAAAGATGATTACCTTATCCCAATGCAATTGTCTTCTACTTCATAAGCATTCATTGAAAACTTAAAACATTATAATTCGTAACCCAGTGGGCTGGCTAATCTTCTTAGGTCAGACCCTCCACACTTTTCAGAGTGTTCTATGCTTTGTTTTGCTAAGTAAAGTCCTGCTTAAACCACCCCATGCCTTGGCTGAACTAAAATATGAACTAAGGGGAGATTCTAGCCCAGTAACACATTTTTGGTGCTGCGACTTGGATCACAGGCCTCGACTCTGAAAACTTAATGCTTCACTCTGAAGTATGTACTCTCCATTCTCAGTCATCTTCAGGCTCTGCCTGTGGCATCTTCATGTCATTCTGAATGACATGTTCCATCCTGGAAGAAGTAGAATGAAACCTTCTAGGCACAGAACAAAAGACAGTCAAATCAATACATTTAGCAGTTATGTTTTGGGGTCATGAGGTAAGTGGACTAAAGGATGTGGAAGCTTTCTGTGTGTCTTAGATGTTATAGCATTCTTTTTTAAATAAATTGTGCTCTTTCTCCCACTTCATTTTTTTTTTTTTAAGATTTATTTATTATGTATACAGTTTCTGCCTGCATGTATGCCTGCACACAAGAAGAAGGCAGCAGACCTCATTACAGATGGTTGTGAGCCACCATGTGGTTGCTGGGAATTGAACTCAGGACCTCTGGAAGAGCAGCCAGGGCCCTTAACCACTGAGCCATCTCTCCAGCCCCTGTTATAGCATTCTTAGTGCTAGGATTGATAGAGAGTAGGGGTCTGCCAATCCTTGGGACATATTTCGAGATTTTTGTTTGTTTTTCGTTTTAGTTTTTTCAAGACAGAGTCTGTCTGTGTAACAGCCCTGGCTGTCCTGACTCACTCTGTAGACCAGGCTGGCTTCAAACTCACAGAGATCTACCTACCTCTGCTTCCCACATGCTGGGATTAAGGGCTTGAGCCACCCGTGTCCAGCTCAAGTTTTATTTAGAGGTCGTGAGGGCACTAGGTCTGATACAGAGGTTGAAAGTAACTTTAGGTCTTGATCTGCAACATTCTGTCTCCACACTTGTGATGTTACTAATCGGCCAAAGTCAAGTAGATTGTTCTTCAACATCGACACGTGCTTCAGTGCCCACAGGGAATGGAAAATTCCATGATTTACACAGGAACATTCCTGTTGACAAAGTGGAAGTCCTCATGTGAGAGTACCCCAGTCCAGCCCAGACAAGGCCATCACGGACTGAAGGAAAGCAGTAGTGGGGGTGGTGGATGACAGATGCTCTGGATCTGACTTGAGCAATGCTGCTCCCCACTTTAGGGCCCAGCACCCCACTGTGGAACCTATAACCATGTCTACCACAAGGAAGGAAATGCTCTCTTCTCACTTCCAAAAAGAAAATTCTGATGTTGTAAGGCCAAGGCCAGGGGGTTGTATCTGGAATGTTCCAGAAAAAAAACAATATGCTGCTAAAGGCTTGGTCCCAGCTTGTGGCTCTGCTGAGGGGTCACGGAACCTGTAGGAGATGGGGGTCTAGTAGGAGAAGGTTGGGCCACTCTGAGGATAACTCTTGAAGGAGATCTTGGGAGCCCCAGGATCCCAGCTCCTTCCTCTTTCCCCGCTGCTCCTCAGCCACCATGCAGTGAACAAGCCTCACGGCCCTCTTGATCTGCCTGTGATACACCATGCCACCACAGTCAGAGCAACAGCTTACCAACCCTGCCAGCCCCCACCACTCAGTTGCATTTTCAGGAGGTATTTCTCTCACTCATTCCTTCCCAGTGGTGCCAACCTGTCTGGACAACCAGCTCTAATCTGCCCTCAGCCCCAGTGCCTTAGCATCCATAATGCTTTGATTCTCTACAGTACTTACTGTTCGGCTAGAACCTCCAGCTCCGCCCCACTTCTCTCTCTCTCTCCAAACTCTGCCCTCTCAGAAAAACTGACAAAATTCCAGGCTCCTCTCCAGAAGCTCCTAGCCGCTCAAGACCGTGCCTACAGGGTATTTAAGCCCTCTCCTTCAGAACGGCCATGTGAATTTTCCTGTCCCCTTCCCTGGCCTCATCTCTGGGGCTGGAAAAGTCATCCGGGAGTGCTTTGTCCAATTAACCTGGTCTTTTACTTTTAATTTGGCTTGATCTGGCTTACTGCATCAGCGGAGAAACCTAATATTGGGGTACGAATACCTTTCACTCAAGTCTATCCTTGCCTACCTGCCAAATAGTCAGGAGTTTGCACGGTTTCCCAAACTGAAAGGTGATACATGGACAGTTTTGTGGACTCAATAGCTGCCCCGCATAATAAAAGGGCAGTTCAAATCCTGCCGCTCTGACCATTGTAGGAATAACTGTGGGCATCACCAGTGGGACTGACCACCTCTCTGATTAGGTATTACCAGTTTTCTTCCCAGTGCATCCAGGACCTCCAACCGGTGGGTCAAACCATACTCACTGTTTAAGGACGAATTGGTTCCTTGGTAGTGGTGGTACTCCAAAACCAATGGGGACTAGATCTCCTTAGAGCTGAAAAGAGACACCTTTGCCCCTTTGCCTCTTCCTCTGAGAAGGGTCTCTCTGTGTAACTTTGGCTGTTACATGTAATCTTGCTCTGTAGACCAGGCTGGCCTTGTATTCACAGAGATTCACCTGCCTCTGCCTCCCAAGTGCTGGGATCAAAGGAGTGAGCCACCAACACCATAATGCTGCTTTTATGTCAATCAATCCGATACAGTAAAAAACAAAACCCAACAACTCGAAACAGACCTCCCCAAATGTAAGGAACATCGTCATGCTTCCAGCCCCTGGGCCTTTGAGAACCCCATATGGAATTGGATACTGCCCTTCCTGATGATGCTCCTCCTTCTCTTTTTCCTGCTTTTACTAATTGCACCCTGCTCTATCAATTTCTTCTCTACGTTACTTCAATGACAAATTAAAAAACAAACAAACAAACACAAACAACCCTTTAATCAGTTGTTGTTACAGGCCTATCGACCCCTAGGCGCAGAGCTGGAGCCTTAGGACTACCCAATATGTCCTGACAGTGAGGATCAGCAGTGCCCCAAAGATGTTGACTCCCCCCAGACAACAGGAAGCAGTCTGAAGAGCACGGCACCCCCATTCCTGCCTCAGCAGCCACCCCTCCTATTTCTTTGCCTTTTATGATAAACAGGAGGGAGGAACTTTGGTAAAGTGAGAACTACCCACATTCCAGAACCAGGTGGTTCCCCATCCCCCACCCCACCTTCAATGACTCTGCCCTAGCAGTTCCATCATCACTAGCAGCCAATGCAAAATGCCTCCCCTGTCTCCGGTCACGTATTTTCCCTATGTGAATGCGCCACGCCCCTTCTAAAGTCCGCACTTGTCCTCGTGGCCTGCTCGCTATCTTTTCCAGTCCCTGCTCAGAGGCAGCCTTTTCCATATGCACCGCCCCTCCCGCCAATAAATCTCTTTCGTGAGGTCTGCTGTGTGCAGTGATTTTTCTGGCATTCTGAGGCCCTCCAGTCACTGCAAAACACAACCCCAAGGGCTTGAACTCTTGAAACCATGAGCCAGAATAACAACCTGGCCGCTTTTTACATGGATTTCCTCAGGCATTTTGTCACAGTGGTGGAAACTTAGTAATAGAGCCACAATGGGTATTCTAGACACAGGAAGAAAAGAAAGGAGGAAGGGAGGGAAGGACAGAGGAGGACCTGCAGAGAGGGAGGGAGGGGCAGGATGCACACTGGGAATCTTGACATTAGCAGCAGAGGGCTTTGAACTGGGCACAGCATGCTGATCATGTATCTAAGGGTCACTTTGTTCCCACCTGCTGGGAAGGGCCTGGGATATTCAAACAGGCTTGGAGAGGATTGCTCAAAGCACCTGCATTTCTCCCAGGGCATCATGGGTCTGCAAAGAGCCAGGGGCTCCCTTATCTACAGTTGATGCTGAAGGGTGGAGTCTGTGGTGTGGAGCCCTAGTGAGCGCCCATGCAGACTGAATAGGATGTGGTGGCACAGATGGGTCTGTGGGACAGCTCAGTGCTACAGAGTCACTCAGGTCTGCCCAGCCTCAGCCAATGCAGGCTGAAAAGCAAGCCCACAAGGACTGTGGGCTGGGCTTATCAGACAAGGGGGTGGGGCTTGGGGGATGGAGGTGTAACATTAGAGTGGTAGCTGACCCTTGCAGAAGAGCGTTAAGGGTTGCTATTGAGATGTCAGATCTCGGGGACCCTCCCAGCTCGCTGTCGAACTCTCTAGAAGCACCGCTGTGATCTTGGGCTTGCAAGACGCCCCTCAGGCCTCAGCTGGGGCTTGCTCCAGGAACACAAGCGGCTGCAGCTACATGGTGAGGGCTTGGCCCAATCCAGTGGCTCATTCTTCTGAAAGAACAGAAGGGGGCAGGGGTGGACTGTAGTCTCTGGAAGCCAGCTGGGAGAGAGTCGGCTCCTTCATTGGTAGGCCAGCTCCCTGGCTGCCTCAACTGGCACTGAGCAGCTGGAAACCCTGCAGGATATGGGGGGGGGGGGAGGAGACACGAAAAGTCAGAAGTCTCTCTTTAGTTTTTTCTTTTTGTTTATTTTCCTTTTTGTATTTTGTCTGACTTAGGGCAAGTGTGGCCTCAGTTGGACAGGGGAGCCCCAGATGGAGGCATGAAAAACAACACACAGTGAGGCGCTCTCAGGAATGCTGGCTGTCGAAGGCCCTGTGGGTCCACGACATGTTCCTGAACTAAACCAGCTGGAGGAGGAGGACCTGAGAAGACAGCAGGGCCATGCAGATGATAGTGCCTTGGTCTTTGTCACTGTTCCAGGGAGTCCCATCCCCAGGGGGTCTTGGCCTGTAGGGAGGGGGTCTTGCCCCGTAGGAAGGGGGTCTTTGATGCGGAGGGGGCCTGTAGGGCCCCTGTGGCTCTGGATCTGGCGATGCTTTCTTGTGTTCTTTAATCCAGTTGTCAAAGTAGGAGACCCTGGCGAAGACACTGGGGCTGGCGATCGGGGTCTCACATGATGCGCTCCAGCTGGTCAGCCCCACCAAGTACCAGGAGCCATCCAGTAAGCAGACGAGGGGGCCCCCGGAATCTCCCTGAGAAGAGAGAGGACACAGAGGGCAGGTCTGATACCAGAAGGGAACAAACTGACCAGGATGGAGTGAATATAACCAACACCAGGTGTCTCTGCTGTCTGAGTGGTGCCCATCAGGACCATCGGAGCAATTTAAAAAAAATATAAGCACAGGAGGCCTCTTGGGTCAGTATCTTCATGGGGCCCTATTCCTCAAAGCTACCAAGGAGACCCTGAATACCATTTGGTGGAGAGTCTAGGAGCTGAGCATTTGCTCTCTGCCCTGCTGTCTATGTGGGAGATGTCTTTGAAGTCCCAAATGGTCAGGGTGGTGGTTTGAAAGAAAATGGCTCCTAGAGGGAGTGGCACTATTAGAAGGTGTGACCTTGTTGGAGGAAGTGTGTTACTGGGGAGGCGGGCTTTGAGGTCTCCTATATGCTCAAAATACCACTCACTGAAACAGTCCACTTGCTGCCTGTAAGATGTAGGACCCTCAGCTATTTCTCCCCATGTCTGCCTGCATGTTGCCATGTCCCACCATGATGATAATGGACTGAACCTCTGAACTGTAAGCAAGCCACCCCAGTGAAATGTTTTCCTTTGCTGTGGTCATGGTGTCTCTTCCCAGCAATAGAAACCCCAATGAAGACGGTGACTGACTCATTGCCCTGGAGGCATGGCCTGTGATCTTTGGTTGCATCCCTTGTCCCAGCACAGCATCCCACATGTACCTTTGTGTTTTGTTTACTAACACGACCAGTGATTCTTCAGTTCCTTGGCTGAGCTCCTTTAGAAGATGCCAAGCTATAGGATGTGCAGAGCTGTCGCGGGAGCCCAGCCGGGATAGAACCATGAAGAGTTCTTAGGCTCCAGAAGAGAGGTTGGAACTCCAAGCACAGCAGGGCCTTGAGATGGGAAGGTCCCTGGGATCATGGGTAGAAACACTCCTATCTCAAACCAAAAGGCAGGAGGCAAAATAACACAGTCCCCAACAACCTTGTGTTGAAACACATGTCAGAACAGTCTTTGTTCACAGAATACTCAGGATTGTGGGCACACACCTGAAGAACCTCCATAGGGATAATGAGTTGCAAGGTGACAGAAGAACCCCCAAGGGGACGAGGGGATGACCAAGTCATAAGAGGACTTCTCTGCATCAAGATTGGATGGAATTATTGAGGCTTGACTGTGGCAAGCTGTGGGCAGAGACACAGTTGCTCAGCAGGGAAGCAAGGGGCCCTGGTGAAAGTTCTGGAGCTTCTGAGACAGGGCTGCAGGCCTGGTCTGGGCAGGTTACAGTAAAGAGGGGGGCGGTCAGTGGGTGGAACCACTCAGCACACAGGATTGACCCTATTTTTTCTATTGTAAATGCAAAGCAAGTGAGATAGTTCAATCTCCAGAAACCGCATTGTGGAGAGAAACAACTACGTTGCCCTTAAGTTGCCCCCTGACCTCCTGGGTGTGCGTGTACTCACACACTCACAAACACACATACACACACCCGGGGGGGTGTAGACTAAATTACTTGATTATTTTTAAATGCAAAGCAAGCTGGGTACTATATGCATGCAATCCTGGTACTCCAGAGGCAGAGGCACAAGGATTGCAAGTTCAAGACCAACCTGAGCTACACAGTAAGGTCATTTCTAGACAAACAAGCAGATGATAGATCGATACATTATACAGACAGACAGATAGATGAATAGACAGGCAGACAGACAGATAACAAGTGAATAGATAAATAGATTTGAAACAAACAAAACCAGCAGCAACAACAAAAATTCAAGGCAAGAACAGGAAGATAGATTGTGGGCACTAGTGTCAGAAAGAGGAGATAAGGGAACAGAAGAGCAAAGGAACAGGTGAGGAGGAGCACGTGATGGACTGGGCTAGCTGAGGATTGGGGGCATTAAGGGCGCATGCTCACACTGCAAGGTGAATGGCTGGGAAGGAGGTGTTGAGAATTATCGGGCATTCTTGAGGAGCAGGATAAGTATACATAAGATGCAAAGTCATATGCTTCTGAGCCAAGAGGACAGCCCATCAGGGAAGAGAAAGGCAGACAGACACCAGGACAAGCAGAGGCCATAGGAGACACTTCTAGGTGCCCACTTCCTTTCTGGGTTCAGTCCCCCATTATTTACATTATTAAATGTAAACAATACAGACTGCACACAACTAGTGATGAGATCATGTCCCAAATATAAGAGTTCCTGTGAATCGTTGTGGAAGATACATGACCATTGGTGCCAAAACAACCTCACGATCTTGAGAGTATACTTCATGGGGGAAATGAATGAAAAAATGTCCATCTTCATTAGTCATCAGAAAAATGCAAATGAAAAGAAAATCATATACTGCTGGGCAGTGGTGGCACACACCTTTAATCCCAACAGAGGCAGGTGGATCTCTGTGAGTTCAAGGCCAGCCTGGTCTACAGAGTGAGTTCCAGGACAGCCAGGGCTACACCGAGAAACCCTGTCTGGAAAAACAAAACAACAACAACAACAAAAAGAAAAAAGAAAAAAGAAAGAGGGAAGGAAGGAAGAAAGAAGGAAAGAAAAGATTATACCTAATGGTTAAAATGAAATAACCCAAAAAACTGGTACAATGTGGAGTAACCTGAACTTTCCATGTTGGGAACACAAATCAGGACAACCATATTGGAGAGCTGCCTGGAGTATGTGTAAGACAAGAACACATGTGTATCTCATGGCAAGATGATTCTACTACTAGCATGATGACCCCTAAAACATGTTCAGGACGAAGCCATTGCAAAGACCTCTCATAGAAACTGCCAAGTGCCACCAGGGTGAGAACAGATAAGGAAGAGGGTAGTGTATCCATATAGTGGCATGGCTGGATAGCATTTGTGGACTAAAAAGCAGTCAGGCAGAAGCATGTTCAGGTAGAGTCTCAACAGGAAGCCATAGTCTTGGCTTCCAAAGCCATGGTAGGACAGTTCTGGGAGTGAGGGAAAGGCAAGGGCTTGAGGAGGACACTTTGGGTGCTGTTTACATCAGTGCAACAATTTCTTATTTTAATTAAATGTTATT